GTTCCCGCCCTACGGGCTGGGCTCGGCCGCCGCCGCTGCTGCCGCCGCCGCCGCTGCGTCCACGTCGGGCTTCAAGCACCCGTTCGCCATCGAAAACATCATAGGCCGGGACTACAAGGGCGTGCTGCAGGCCGGCGGGCTGCCCTTGGCGTCCGTCATGCACCACCTGGGTTATCCCGTGCCGGGCCAGCTCGGCAACGTCGTCAGCTCCGTGTGGCCGCACGTCGGCGTCATGGATTCAGTGGCCGCGGCCGCGGCCGCCGCGGGGGTCCCCATGGCCCCGGAGTATGGGGCCTTCGGTGTGCCTGTCAAGGCCCTGTGCCACTCGGCAAGCCAGAGCCTGCCTGCGGTGCCCGTGCCCATCAAGCCGACTCCTGCGCTGCCACCGGTGGCCGCGCTGCCCGCAGCGCTCGCTGTCCCCGCGGTCGCACAGCAGCTGCCGGCACCGTCCACCGTGTGCCCGGCGGCCGCCGCCTCACCCGCCGTCTCTCTGATGGAGCCCACCGCCCCGAGTGCGGCCGAGAGCAAAGGCGGCTCTCTGCATTCGGTGCTGGTGCATTCTTAGGGTACCCAGCGGGCTGGGAGAGACGAACGCATGGAGACTCGCCTGGCCCTGGACCGCCGGAGAGGGCGAGGGCGCCCTGACCAGGTCGGGTAGAGCTGGCGAGCCCCAGCCTTTGCGGGAGAGGAAGGTATTTAAACAAACCTGAAAGTGGATTCTCCAGTGGTCTGAATAAATATAACACTTCTGGTGTCTGTGTTTATACTATGTTGTACAATCAGAATAATGAAAGCCAATTTTCAGGTAAGAGTTTCTATTGTAATTAAAATTATAAATCCATAAGTTATGGGGGGAGGGAACGAACGAGTTTGGGGAAGCCTCATTCGCTGGCATATTGGAATTGGATCTCTATTCTTACTCCCGGGAGCAGAAGATGGCAGGACTAAACCTCCCTCGGAGAAGTCCAACAGAGAGTGACGATGAAACAGACCTCAGCCACCAAGTTTCTTCCCGCGGGTCTCAACCTCTCGTGAACAATGTCGCCTCTCGTGACCATTCTAGACAAAACTGCTATTCACTAAGGAAATCTTGTTTTATTTAAGAAGGAAAAGAGGGAGCATTTCATACCGTTATTTTCCTGGTCAGTGAAATGGACAAGGACACGGTAGCATGAATAAAGCCTCTTTGGGGGCAGTGGGAACCTCACGAAGGATCTTGGGAAACAGTTAAGTTTCTTGGCTCTGACCCAAGGGTCGAGAAGGATAGAAGGAACGGCTAAAGCAATTAGTTTGCACAAAAGAGAATGGCAGCAGCTTAAAGCGCAAAGCCCCAGATTACAAAAGTAAGTTCGGGAAACATAACCAAAGAGAGACATTAAAGGAGACTTTCTACCTGCAATTCTTTCGTGAATCAATCGGATGAGACCGTTGAGGAGCCCCCAGACAATGTGAATTCCCATGATCCGTTACATTTGAGATTTTTTTTTTTAATCACTTGCATCACGGGATTTTGTTCCCCTAACTCAAGAATGCAAGAAAAACCTGCCACGTCACCCGACAATATTGCTCTTAACGTTTCCAGGAGCGTTTTGTGGCCGTTGCCTTCCAGCCTCCTCGGGACAGATGCGTGAGGATGACCGGTCACCTTTGCGTGCTGCCTTTGATTTGGTATTCCGTGTGCTGTTTGGGTGCGTTCTTCTTTCAGGCGAGCTCTTCAGTTTCAGATCCTGAATGAAAAAGAAACGTGCTTTGCCGCTGTTGCTCTTCCCAGTTTTTGAGACCCAGGAATAGCACTTTACTCGCAACAAACTTTTGGGAACGAATGGGGGGCGGGTAGGGAGAAGGCAGCTGTCCTTTGCCCCGAGTCACCTCTGGCCTTTGTCCGCGCCGCGTTCGGGTTGTGACTTTGTGCCAAGTTCATGTCTGCCTGTGTTGTACGCGGTGTTCTCCATTAAAGCTTCTCTCTGGATGTGCCGGTGTGAAGGTGTTTCGCTTCTCAAGAGACGAGGCCGCGGTTTGAGTGCCCACTGGGGGAAAGTCTGGGGACTTGGCAAATCCTCTTCCTCCCCTTCTTTTTCAACTTCTGAGCAACAAAGAGGGTGAGTTCACAGGCGAAGCGGCAGCTGGACAGGTTTCCTCCTCCGTGGCTCCTTTTGTCAGTTGGCTCAATATCTGTATCTGTTTTACCTGTTCTTCCACTGCTTTCCTAGCTGAGCTCTAGTCCACCTCAGTGCGAGAGACTGGATTAGCAAAAACCCGCCACAGTGAATTTTTTCTGTTCCTACATGAGGTTTATTAGCAATAACCATCACCAGCCCCCAACACCCTTTCCCTTTTCTGAGAGCGGGCCATGGCCCGGGTCCCGGTGCCAGTGGGTGGGGGCTGGCGGCGCCCCATTAAGTCTGCGGGGCGGGGAAGAGGGCGCCCGGACTCCACCACTGCCTCCGAGGCCCACATTCCCGAGAAGCGCGCGCCCAGCCGCGGCGGCCTAGGGGACCTGTTGCGCATCCTCGGCAGCCTGGGGCCTGGAGCCAGAGAGCGCTGGGCCCTGGAGAGCCGGCAGCGCCACAACACGTGCTCCTTGGAGAGGGCCAGCGGGCTGCAGACCCTGTGGAGCTGTGCGAGAAGGTGGCGGGGCACCTCGAACAGGGGTCCATCTTGAACCAGCTTCACTGTGCCCAGCCAGGCCGGACGGAAGGCTCCTCTAACCTTTCATCAGAAGAAAATAAAGGACCAACGAGGTGACCTGATCATAGTAATGACACTGAGGGGATTTGGGTTGCTTCTTAAAAATAAGAATTTCCACGCACCCCTTATTTACAAGTACCATTGCAGCGTGCAGCTAAGTTTTGTCCTCGCCTGGGAGACAAGTCTCAGTTTAGGTCACTGCCTCCTTGGAGGCACAAACAACTCTAGTGTATCCTATCTCTCAGCTTGAAACTTTGCAAGGTTCCCTGCAGGGTTTTCCTTTACACTAGTCTGAGGCTGTTGAAAGAGAGAAAAGGGGAGCCACTGGCATGGGGATCATAGATTTGGGGTGACCTGGGAGTCTGGCTGCTTTGTCCACCTCTGGGTGAGCTGGTGCCTGAAAGCCCCAGGCTGGGACCCCTAGTTCAGGCGCAGCAAGTCACAGGGCCTGAAGAAGGGAAGTCGCTGGATCTCAGTTGTTTCTTCAAAAGAACATCACATCTCTTCTTCTTTATCCACCAGCCCCAAAAGGGCCAGTGTGCTTTTTAGCGGTGCCCATTGTCCCACTTCCGGGAGAGGGGCACAGTGCAAAGTGTCGTCCAGCACCCAGGGGACTGGCTTAAGTGACAGCCCCTCCTGAGAAGAGAGGAGCCGGTGGGCCAACTCCAGAGAAGGATGAGTAACTGACCTTCCGCATCCCTCAGACCCTCTTAGCAACCCAGCCTCGCACCAACTCCCTGGAACCCCTCCTACCTCTGTGGGGAAAGCATGGTTGTTGTGTTTTGTTTTTACCGTAAGGAGACAGAGGAAGGAGAAGGGAAAGCAGAGTGAGCTGAGAGATGATTCTACTCAAGTTTTCATCCAAGAGGAGACCCCGGTACCCAATGGAAGCTATGCATGGCATTGAAGTTGGAGAACAAGGGAATTCATGCAAATATACAAAGAGGGAGGAGCTTTCTGTCAAAGTGCTGATCCTAAGGGAGGTCCCAGTTAAACCCCCAATACTGACAGAGCCCTGAACACCCCCTCTTAACTTAGATCTGCAATCTAACTAACTCTTAACTGAGTGGTGGTCTCATATGATCTCACAGGTATTCTCTCTCTAGTTACATGTTGGAATAGAGAAAAAGTAAGTTCTGGACATAAGTGAGATAGAAATAGAGGCACTTATAAATGTATGATCATCTCAGTTCACAAGATTAATAAAATCACTCTTGGTTTGCTAAGTACTGGTGGAGATAACCTGAAATTATGCTCCTGGTTTCCAGGATGATACAAAACACTGTAGTTGTTTAGCCTGTCCCCTACTTAATTGAATGCACAGAACCCTGAGAAACATGGGGAGAGGCAAAGAGGAGGGAGAAAGATTTTCATGTAGCTGCTCTTAAAATAAAAGAAAACGGAAAACAACTTGGAATGATCTACTTGATTACATTCCCTTGGGAAGATGAGAAGAGAGCTGAGGGTCGAGGGAGAATGAAGCTATTTTAGCTGTGGTCCCTAGGAGAACAGGCCCTCCTGCAAAGGCCAGAATTGGCACAGTTGGCATCTGGCACTTAGGAAGCCTGTCAGTCAGGCTGGCTTGTGGTCAATTATCTCCTTAAGTAGACTGGCATTAGTCCAGCCAGGGCGGGGAGGGCTGGTTGCATCCGTCAGAATCAGAGCCAGTTAGCTGGAAGTGGCACTGCGGAACTCCAAGCATCTTTGCACTGGGGGGTTTGGAAAGCTGATCAACACATCTCCCTCTGGGACTCAAAGGTGACACTTGCCTGCTTGGCAATAGTACAGCAAGACTGCAGAAGGGGACAGAAACAGAATGCCTTAGGAAAAGAAACACTGATCACCAAAGCCACTAGTTCCCCTTAAATTCCATTCACCTGACAAGACTGCCATTTCTGAGATGCACAAAATTATACAGAGATCCCTGTAAATTGTGGTGGGATTTGACTCCTCCGTTGGTAAGAATTCTCATTCTTCATTGTACCTGACTATGAGATGGGCAGAAAGGATAGTTTGGGGTCATGTTTAGGTTTGGATGATATGGCAAGGGTTTGAAGCAGTGTTAGCACTCCTCAGACTAACACTAATTCACGCGTGATTCTGCATGGGGTGTGGGGCAGGGTGGCGTAGATGTTGAAAATGAGAAACTAAAGAAATGGTTTCAAAAGCCAGTGATAACTTCTTTGTGGGTGAAAAGGCAGAGTGGGAATCCAAGTGGAGGTGGGAAGTCCTTGAATTCCAAAGGGCAAAACTGTTTCTCCAAGTCCAACATTTTCATTTTGTTCATTGAAAGTATTTTCATTAACTTTATCTTTAAAAGCTGAAATGCTAACTTATACTCTTTGGGGGAGATTGAAGAGATTTGCTTGGGATTTGAATTCAGTCTTAAGCCATTGTTTAAATGCTATGAGTTTGGCAAAACTCCAGATGTACTCTGTCCCAAGCACTTTTCCCCTTAACTATCCTCTGTGTATTTTAAGGAAAATTCAAGCCACATGTTACTCTTTCCCCCTTGCATTCAAATGTAGTTTTATTGAATTTTAGCATAGTCCATGAAATTTAAATTCTGAGTTTTAAGCCATAATATATTCATATGATCTACAAGCAGTCACATGATATGCACATATATCATTAAGCAGAAAATAAAGCCTCTGAGAACTGTAGTCATATTATTATAGTAACATTTCTCTAAACTGAAGAGCCATGCTGAGAATGACATATTAAGAAAGGATTTTATAAAATTATCAAAAAATTCAAAAAAGCTGACAGCAATCCATAAAAATATTTTAAAAAGAGTATTTCTTGGAAGATATTTTGGTTATGTTTAGTTTGAGCCAAATAGTTCTTCCCTACCACAAGGAACAGGTCTTTTGTGTG